TTTATTTCACTTATATTCTCCTTATTGTATATGAAGAATGATATGGTTTTTTAAAAGTATTTATGTAAGTCAAAAAATAAAAAAAAAGAAGTATTTATATAAGTCTAAAAAACTCACACTAAACATAAAACAAAAATTAGAAATGATAAGAAAGCATAGGCAGGTACATCTTACAATCAGTGACATAGATTCAGTGAAACACAGTATCACATGGAAGGCTGAAAAATTTGACTTTTAAAGAGCATATCTCTCTTCAAAGATTACCAAAAGTCAATGCTCTATTTCTATTTCTGAATCCTTAATTTATCACTTTAATTTTCTTTAATCTATTACTTTATATTTTATATTAAATGTATCTAGATTAGCATGTTATGTGTGTGTATATAAGTGTGTGTGCATATTATATATATGTATATACGTATGACATGGTAAAGTTTTTACTGATATGTATATATAATAAAAAGTTCAGTAGTCACTGTTTCTATAGGCACTTCATCGGTCCATAGGATACATTTTGTATGAAAGTATCATTATTCAACATTTCCCCACTTGGTGGCACCAAAAAATTAAAATATCTACATAGTGTGTCTAGAGGTTTCATTTTTTGAATTTAAAAGTAGCAGCATTCCCTTTCAATTTAAGATGAAAACAATAGGCAAGGTGTATGTTGTTTGACATTCTTCTAATATTGAATAGTGCCTAATTATTGGGTTACCCCTTAAGACATGGTAGAGTAGATATGATCTTGGTAAAATTTAAATAATCAACTAGTTTCTAAACTAAACAATAATGGGTAGCTAAGAAAATCACATTCTACTAACACATTATAAAAACTTTTCTGGTCTCGAGGGCGCCTGGGTGGCTCAATCCTTAAGCGTCTGCCTTCGGCTCAGGTTATGATGGGATCGAGCCCTGCATCGGGCTCCCTGCTTGGCAGGAAGCCTGCTTCTCCCTCTCCCACGCCCCCTGTTTGTGTTCCCTCTCTCACTGTGTCTCTCTCTGTCAAATAAATAAATAAAATCTTAAAACAACAACAACAAAAAAAGCAAAAAAACTTTTCTGGTCTCAATACTAACAGTTACAGAGTCTATAGTAGACATGACTTTACATTTAATAATTAGTTCTTTGCACTCAGGGTCAAAGTACTCTAAATATTAACTTCCCACTTTGGGAGCTTTAATTAAAATTAATCTCTTGGGGCACCTGGGTGGCTCCGTTGGTTAAGCATTTGACTCCTGATTTCAGCTCAGGTCATGATCTCAGGGTCATGAGATTGAGCCTCATTTAGGCTTACCACTGAGGGTGAAGCCTGCTTAAGATACTCTGTCTCCCTTTCCCCCGCTCCTTCCCCTGCTTGCACATGTCCTCTTTCTCTCTCTCAAAAAAATAAAATAAAATAAATCTCTTCTACATCCCATGAATATATACGGTACCCTCTTTCCATGTTCTACCATGTGAAAAGCTCAATTCTCAAGCTTTTCCGTAACAAGTTAGGACAAAATTTTATATCTGCAAGCAAATATGATAATTAGTACTATTAACCACCTCTCTATAACAAAACCACCTATCTATAAACAGTTGATTTTCAACTAGCTTTTTAATAAAGATTGAGTTTTAACGGCCCATTTTTACAGATGGGGAAGCTAGGGTTCAGATATGAGATTTTACATAAAGACTTTCACTCATGACTAGCTCTCAGGTATAAACGCCATGCTCTCCCCTTAAACAGGGTCTTCTCTATATATACTTGATAGTAAAACTGGCCAGACTGATTTGGTGGCTAAACATCCTTCCACTGAGTTCTGAGCATATTCTGTGCTATTTAAAAGTTTGTCTATCCATCCCCTCCCCCAAGTAACTACCACCCAACTTTGAATACCTCCTTTGACTTACTCATCTTTTCATAAACCACTTTTTCAATGATGTTGATACAACTGCTATTAGCATCTGGTTTACTTTCACTGCAAGATGTGGAAAGAGCTGTGAGTTATAGTTTAAACCATACTAAACTGTGAATATTCAACAATTTGAGCTACTAGTGACTATTGGGTGACCAACAAATTCCAAGACTGGGTAAATTTCTTAATTAAATCTTCATAATCTTATTAAACATTATTCCCAGTTTAGAAATTAGTAAATTTAGACAGTAAAGTAGTTCAAGGGACCCACAGACTTAAAAAGAATCTACATTTAAGACTTTCCACCAAGGATCACATTTTATTGCTTATGCTACTTAAAGAAAAAATATAACTCCTAGATAGTATGATCTTACTATACTGTTAAATTGGACCCTCTCCCCTGGGCTTAGGACTTAAGGGACCCCTCCCCACCTATTCAGTATACCTTCTATGTCTTTCAGGTTCCCAACCTAGTCCCCATCATAAAGTCCTCTGTTTATCAATGCCCTCTGCATTCTAAAATCGTAAGGTTCTTCTAAGGATCTCTTAACTAAGTCAGTTATGATTATTTTATTTGGTTTCATTATTTAAATGATTATTTAATTTTCACAGCTTGAGTTAGAGTAATATAAAATATTAGTTCAAAATATTTACTTTACAATACTATCATTCCTACAGGGAAGCTCTCTTTCGAAGAATTTAGTAATTTCACAGATTTTTCCCACTCCCACTCATCACTGCCACAGCTTACATAATTCAGAGCCACCAGAGTAATAGTGTTAAAATGTTAGATCCTATCACTTCTCCATTTAAAACCTTCCAATGGTTTCTAATCTCAATCAAAATAAAATTCAAAATCCTAACCATGATGCATAAGGCTCTATATTAACATGGCCTCTGGCTATTTCTCATCTAAACTTCAGCCTTCCTTCCCCTGTTAACCGAGCTCCAGCCACACTGGCTTTGCCTCTTTGCTACTATCTGAACACTGCATACATGTGCCTACCTCAGGATTTCTGCGCTTACTCTTCCTTCATGGCTGGCTCAGTCACTTTAGTCATCAGGTCTCTGTTCAAATGTTAGAGAAGTCACTCCTGACCTTTATAGTAGAACCAGTCTCCAGTATTGTCTATACCATTACACTGCTTTATTTTTTTCATAGCAAATACCATTTGACTATTGGAAGACAATCTTCCATGGGTCTCTCATTTCTTCACACCTTGCAAACCAGGCACAAATGCTCATTTTTTTCTATACTATCTTTTCAAGGATGTTTATATAGAAAAATAGCCTTGGAAAACAAAGATAGCATCTTCCTCTGGAGCAAAGGGCAAGCAGACTTACTGTCCATTATAAAAGCTTCAGCTTCCGTAAGTTCAAAGGTTCCTCTTCTATATGAAAGTATCATCTGGTGCACTTCACATTCCCCCATGGGAACTGGAACTGAGGAAACCAGCAAAGGAAAATGCTAATGCTAAGGCTATTGTTACTGCTGTAATACAAAGGTCTCTCCTAGACCCAGAAGTCTTGCATCTTCAGCCAACAACCAAAGAACTGTAACAGGCTAAAACGAGGGTAAAATCTTAGACCTTTCACAGTTCTTGATGTTGACCTTACATATTGGTTTCCTCTTTTTCCATTTGTTTCTCCTAACTAATCTTTTTATCAACTGTTATATACTCATTTTCCTATAGTTTTCAAAGCACTTTTACACAGTATCATTTGACCTTCAAAAAACCTCTAAGAGGCATTTTTTTACTCTCATTAAATGGGAAAGACCCTGACCCAGGAAGGTTAAAAAACACACAAAATCACCTTAACACATCAGTCACAGAATAACAATTAGAGTTCAGGTCGAACTCCTAATTTGTTGTTAATTTGTGACTGCTTCTTAAAAGAAAGAGGGGTGCCTAGGTGGCTCAGTTGGTTAAGCGTCCAACTCTTGATTTTGGCTCAGGTCATGATCTCAGGGTTGTGGGACCGAGCCCCCTGTTGGGCTCCACACCAGGCATAGAACCTGCTTAAGATTCTCTCTCTCTCTTCCCCACTCTGGTCCTCACCACCCCGCTCACATTCTCTCTCTCTCTCTCTCCAAAATAAATAAATAAATAAATTTTAAAAAGACAAATAAATAAAGATAGCACACATATATTCTGTGAGATGGAAGGATAATTACCACTAATAGTATGACAAATTCCTTATGTAGTAATCCATGAAAAAAATGGCAATAAATAAAACAGAGTATCCAAATAAGCACCTGACATATTAAAATGCATGTATTTTAGACTGCTTTTATTCTAAATGATGACCCTTGAATAATTATGTAACAAAATTAGATTCTGCTATCACACTAAAAGCCCATTTCTTTCATGTCTAAAGAAAGATATATTGGAACAATATCCAAAAATGTTTTCTTTATAACCAGTATTTCCCATTTCTGCAAGAATTAAGAATTCTGTAAACATAAACTCAATTAATCTGGAAAGGTTCTAGATAATTTAAAGCTTCCTACACCACTCTCTTTCAAGAGGTAGGTAAGAAGTATTTATTGTTGGTTTTTCCTCTATAATTTGAGCAAAAAACTCAAAAAACAGACTGTACACAAGTTTGGCAGGCTATAACTCATACCTTACTATCGCCAGAAAGACTGAAAAAAAAAAAAAAGTCTCTCAGAGTATAAGATTAGATTCTATACACTAAGGAAATATCATATTATATAAAATATCTAAATTTAAAAACTCTATATACCCAAGTAGGATGAATCTACTGCATCAGTAATAGATACTGATCTACAGTTCAGAGTTCTAATATGCTTATAAATCACTAAATCTACTATGGCATAACATATAACCATCTTCAAGGTTCACAAGTTATAAAATTTGTTTCTGAATATTAAATTTCAAAAATATAGATAAAATGATTGTGACTAAGTAGTTAAAAATTTACTCTCCTCTTCAGTAAAGAAAACTTAAGAAATGAAGAAGCAAGCACTAAAATATTAAAGAGGAAAATATAATTAATTGAATACATGACTAAGGTAAAATGAAAGTGCTTCATAAAGTAATTTCTTAATTTTAACTCCATTATCACCATTACACTTACTGTGTAAGTTATAGCTGCCAACATTCCAATCAAGGTCAGAGAACTAATAGAAAATGACAATGCAGCTAAACCATCTGCAAAGGAAGCAGAACTTTGTTAAAAATGTACACATATACTATTCAAATGTTTATATTCAAAAAATCAATATAAAGATATAAAAACTGGGTTTCTTATACATTCTTTTTTTTTTTTTTAAAGATTTTATTTATTTATTTCAGAGAGAGAGAGAATGAGAGATAGAAAGCACGAGAGGGAAGAGGGTCAGAGGGAGAAGCAGACTCCCTGCTGAGCAGGAAGCCCGATGCGGGACTCGATCCCGGGACTCCAGGATCATGACCTGAGCCGAAGGCAGTCGCTTAACCGACTGAGCCACCCAGGCACCCTCTTATACATTCTTAAGGAATAAACCCAATGTATATTACCTCATCTTTGAAGTGCCAACTCCAAGGGGAGAAAATCTCTACACCCAACATGGGGCTCAAACCCACAACCCTGAGATCAAGAGTTGTATGCTTTATTGAGCCAGCCAGGTACCCTGAGAAAAGAGTTTTTAAAGGGATCTTCACAAATTCATTTGCAAAAATCTTTCGGACTAAGATTTTCTTTCTTTCACTTCTTAAAATTAAAGTCAAAAATTGTCTAATTATTGAGCCTAAAAAGAAATATTAGATGCTCAAAAGGTGGCAAAAAAACTGTCCTAGACTTTCTGAATGGCAGTCCTTGAGAAATAACATTACATAGGAAAGCCACTGACATTGACTAATTCTCTCCCCTCTGCCCGCAATCCTGATATTCTTAGTTTCTTTCTTAATTTTCAAATAAGTTTTCAGCATATAGCCTAAAATTAAATCTTAAAGAGTTTATTTCATTCTTTAATTTGAAAGGAGCTAGACTGCCCATCTGGCAGGAAAAAAACAAAACCAAATAAAAAGCAAACACAAACAAAAAATAAATTCAAACAAAGTACTAACACAGGAAGAATATTATGTTAACAAGTCAGACATAGTAAATTATTTAAGGGAAGGCCAATAATTCAGAGGCAAGAGTGACACTATTAAATAATTATACTAGATTATACAATGAAACACCCAAGCAAATTTGAATATTCATAAATGGGAGTAATACTAATTTTTTCAGTTTTAATACAGGTCCTATTGAACCTGTTTTGATCTAGTTAAAATGCAGGTCCTGTGGAACCAAATGTAATTTTAATTTAATGTATATTAATCTTGCATGAATAACAATAAAATCAGAATCGTTTGTCTTCTTAAAACTCATGTCTCAGTTTTATATAACACCTCAAGAAAGCATATTAAACAAATTCATAAGCTACTATGCAAGCCTAATTTTTAAGCCTTCATTTTATAAAACTAAAATATTAGATTTTATTAAATCAAAGACATTCTGATGCTATTACCTTCTTGATCTTACTAGAATTATCAACAGAAATTGTTCATAAAACTAGGAGAGGTGTGCCTGGGTGGCTCAGTCAGTTAAGCATATGCCTTCGGCTCAGGTCATGATCTCAGGGTTCTGGGATGGAGCCCCGTGGTGGGCTTCCTGCTGGGCACAGAGTCTGGCTCTCTCTCTCTCCCTCCTCCGGCCCCTCCCCCTGGCTTCTGCACTCTCTCTCTAATAAATAAAATCTTTAAAAAAAAAAAACCCAAAACTAGGAGAGATCTGGTATTTAGCTGATAGCAATTTTAAGGTACTATCACTTATAAAACACATCCCAATATCAGAAATATAAAAATGTGGGGAAAAATGTACCCTACAATTGATAAAATGGAGTATTATATTAACATATTTGGCCAATCAAAAAAGTTAATATTACTAATACCATTAAGCAAAATGTACTCTAGGATGTGGTGTTTAAGATTTTAGATAAAAGAAATAATGTTAAGACTAAAGAGCATGAGATTACAGAAATTACACTACTACTACCTATATAATTACTGATTCAAGTTATACCAATACTCAAAGACTAGTGTATAACTTAATGTTTAAGGCAGAGGAGTAGTTACTCAAGAGACCTGAAGGAGTTAACTATGAGAAAAGAAGCAATTTATTTCTCAGTAATAGGATTAGGTGCATAAATCCTGATAATTCAGTATTAATACATGCCAGGACTGCTATCCTAGTTCTTGCTAGTATCAGCAAGATATTAATGGACCACAATCTACATGACGAAATCTTAAGTGGAAAGCAAAAAAATTAAGAAGTTGTACAGCAAGGACTCTAACACTTAATTTAATCATCATTTAATATTATATCTGGATAAAGAAAAAGAAATGCTGATCAAGACTGTATAGTACTTACTAAAAAGAATACAAAAGCAATAAACATCTTTCAGGTTTATAAAATAAATATTGTAGGTTTCTTTGAAAATAAAATGATTACTAAGTTCAAATGCACATGAAATTCTGAGGAATAAGATACACATTCTTATTTGATATCTCTAACCTAACTTCCAGTTTCTAATATCTAATATCCAGTTCTCCAACCCAACTTCCAACTCCAATATCTAATATCTAATATCCAATTCTCCAACCCAACGTCCAGTTTCTAATATCAACTGTACTTTTCAATGATTGAGCATCTTTCTTAACCTAACCTCCTTAACCTATTTTTTTCCTTCTAAAAACCTAAGTCACACTGATAAAGTTAAGGGAAACTTCTGGAAAAGCAATTCCAAAATGTTTTGGTGAGGTAAATTTATAATAAAATATTATTTCATTCATATGAAACCTCTGTAATTTATATTCCACATAAAAATTACTTAATGATGATCAAACAGCAATATGTAGTTCTTTCACTGGCTAAAAGTTAAAAATAAAAAACACTATATCAAGCACATTTCTTTAACATATTCTATATAATCCCAAGTCAATTAACAAACACATAGAAATTATAAGACCTTCACTGCTAAAATACTTTGGAGATTATATTTTTGTTTCGACTTGGTAATTGTATGAAGAGACTTAACTACATCATAGCTAGAAGTGAGTCTTAACACAAGGCTCCCAATTTTTCTAGCACACTTTTAACCACAAGTCAAAAGAACTGTGAGGTTAAATTCTTAACACTGTAGAAACAGACTACTCAAAAAAAGTCCCAAGAGTCATAAAACATGAACTATTATGAATATTTTTTAAAAGAATACTTACGACTACTTCCAAGTTCTTCAAACAGGAATTTCACTTTTTCCCACTCTGTAGAATTTTTATTATTAGGAACATTCAGAGGAACAAAAGCACTACAAAAAAGAAAATAAATCTGGTTAATGGCTGTAAAGATAAAAATTTAAATAAAAGGAAATGGTCTAAAACTCAATTCCTTTTTTTTTTTTTAAGATTTTATTGATTTATTTAAGAGAGAGAACAAGAGAGCACAAGCAGGGGAAGTGGCAGAGGGAAAGAGAGAAGCAGGCTCCCTGCTAAGCAAGAAGCTGATGAGGAGCTCAATCCTAGGACCCTGGGATCATGAGAGAAAGAAAAGGGAAGGAAGAAAGTAGATATTACTTTACTTATCTAGTCAGAAACAAGATTAAAGTAAAACGCTGGGTATCCCTTAAATTGTGTATGTGGAGAATCAAACAAATACAAGAAATAACTCTAATACTACCTCCTTTCTAACCTAATTTTAATTGTAAACAAAGCACAAAGATCTATCCTCTTTTGTAAAGAGGAAATACTAAATGAGTTCAACAATAAGTTGAACAGTATCTAATAATGTGTGCAAGTAAAATGAAGTAATCATTCTATTTTTTTTTTAAACCTTTACTCCTTGGTACTACTGATACTTATTATTCTTACAAAAAAATAAATGGTCAGAGCACGTCAGGAGGTTATTTAAATTTCTAACTATTTGCACTGATGTGCATTTACTACACTCTTAATCTTGGAGACTTATTTCACACCACTTTCAGAAAGAAAAGTGATTACTCACACAGAGAGCAATAAATGCAAAAAGTTCATCATTGCTCTGGTCATAAGATTAAAAAATAAAAGCAGTAAAGTGGAATCAAAAAAAAAACAAAACAAAAAAACTCTTGCAAATTATACTTCTATAATGATATTAACATATTTATCTGCATTTGAACAAATGTATAAACCAAGCAAGTAAAAACTACCTATATAATATTCCTCTATTTCATTTGGATGGAGTTTTTTTCCCGATATATGTATTTTCTGAAAAGTTTATTTTGAATTTGTTAGTTGGGAATGACCAACTCTGTAAGTATGGGAAAAACTTCTAAGTTGTATATAATATCACCAAGAACTTTCTATGACAAAAAAAAAATTTTTTTTTAAGGTCATATGGCCCAAACATTGGCCCAAACCCCAAAGCAGGTTCTCCTCAATTAGGAGAATCCCGTCACCAGGTTGTATAATCTAAGAAACAGATGTGAAATATTTTCATATAAACTAAGAGAAACATGTGTAGGCTGAATTCAAGAGTTAAAACTAAATTCATCTATACATCCTGAACAATAATATTCAAAACATTTCACAACCAATTTGGCAAAAGCACAAAGTAATCAACAGACACACGGGCCTTAATTCTGGAAGACCCTGCTGAACCAGGCTTTACCCTTTAAACAGGCCTAGGATGGAGTAAGAAGACTCAGGAAGGCTGAGCAGCAGCTGACTGATATGCAAGCATTTCAACCTCTTAACAACCCGAAGGGGCAAACTAATGTTCACTGGCCAAATGTCAGCCTGTAGACAAAGATCTATAAAGAGAAAGGAATACCTCCCAACAGATGCAAAGGCAACTAAAACTAAAGTCAGATGTGTCTTGAATACAGATACATCAATTTTGATGAGGAGGCAGCATTTAATAAGTTTATCAACCATTTACTAAATGATGATGATAGTAAAGTAACCAGGAGTAAGAGTATAATGAGATTTATGTGGTAGAAAGTACAGATATTTTCTTAATCTCAATCTCTCTCAAAATAAAAATGCATAAGGAGAACCTTAGCTTCCAAAAACACCCATACTAGATCAAGATAAGACCTGGAGCCTCAAAAGGTTATAAATTTCTCTTACAATCTTAAAAACAGTAAAACTGAAAACCCACTCAGTAAAAATACTTTATACCCAATCTGACTCGCTGTTATTAGTTTAATACAGATTCTCTTTTACGGAAAAGATAAAGGAAAGGCTAACGAATTTCAGTAGCTATGAAACTGAAATGATAAATTCAGTAGAATAGAAAATATGATTTTCACATCTTACACCCAATCACCAGTCATATTTATCTTCCAAATAGCTTATCAGTTTCTTTTCCTCTCTGCTCTCTTTGTAGCTACTCTAGTTCAGACCCTCATCTGTCACCTGAACTATTACAATGATTACATGATTAGTCTTCCCATCTACCATTTATATTTCAATTCTCCAACCCAACTTGCAACTGCCCCTTTCAAATGCATCCTTCATGGTACTGTAACTCTTAGATAAATTCATATATAATTACTTTCATGCATTCACACACACACAAATGCATACACATCTTCACTGTCTTTCAATTGTTCAGCAGGATAAAACTCAAAATTTCTTAAATGTTGTTTATGAGACCCAGTCTACCTACCTGGCTAATCATAGCCTGTCCCCTACCTACACAAACACCTGAAACATCACATCATACTTTTTTTTTTTTTTGTACGGAGGAGGGTGAGAGTTAAAATTCACATTATATGTAGGGTGCCTGGGTGGCTCAGTCAGTTGATGCATCTGACTCTTGATTTTGGCTCGGGTCATGATCTCAGGGTCATGAGATTAAGCCCTGCATCCAGCTCAGCACTGAGTGAGGAGCTTGCTTGGAATTCTCTCTCTCTCTCCCTCCTTTGGCCCCTCCCCTGCCCTCTTGCACACTCTCTCTCTCTCTCTCTCCCCAGTCAAAAAAAAAAAAAAAAAATAGGGGCGCCTGGGTGGCTCAGTCGGTTAAGTATCTGCCTTGGGCTCAGGTCATAACCCCAGGGTCCAGCTCCCAGCCCCACGATGGGCTCTCTGCTCAGCGGGGAGCCTGCCTCTCCCTCTCCCTCCTGCTCTGCCTACTTGTGCTCTCTCTCTCAGATAAAGAATCTGTTTCTTGGTTTCTCTCTCTTTTTTAAAAAAAATTCACATTATATGTTTTATATCATTCTTCAAATATTCCATGTTAACTGCAGCCTCGCAAGTTACCATAATGTTATGGACTCAACTCGTCCCTCTAAAATTTGTATGTTGAAGTCCTAACCACCAGTGTGATGATATTTGGATACTGGGCCTTCCAGGAGGTAATTATGGTCAAATGAGGTCCTAAGGGTAAGGCTCTAATCCAATAGGATTGGTGTCCTTATAAGAAGAGGAAGAGATACTAGACAGTTCTCTCTCCCTGCTAGCAGAGAATAAAATAAAGGCCATGTGAGGAGACAGTGAAAAAGCAGCCATTTATAAGCCAAGTATCTTCAGCAGAAACCAAATTTACTGAAACCTTGATCACGAACTTGTAGCCTCCAGAACTGTAGAACTGTGAGAAAAGAAATGTGCACTGTTTAAGCTACCCAGTCTGTGCTATTTTGTTATGGCAGCCCAAGTAGATTGATACAGATTTTGGTACCGTTAAGTGGACTGCTACTGTAACAAATACCTAAATATGTGGCTGTCTCTTTGAAACTCAGTAATGAGCAGAGGCTGCAAGGGTTTTAAGATGCAAGCCAGAAAAAGCCTAGGCTGCCTTGAAAGTGAAAAGAAAGGAAGGAAGGAAGGCAGGCCCCAAATGGAGTCACCTGTGCTAAGCCCCACCAAGATTTAATACCTAACCTCAGAGCAATTTCAGCCTCTCCCAGGAGTAGAATTTTAAACCAATCAGTCTGGAATTTCCTAGTAAGGTAATCTGCCTGATAAAAACCCCCTGCTTTGGGCACGTGGGTGGCTCAGTCATTAAGCCTCTGCCTTCAGCTCAGATCATGATCCCAGGGTCCTGGGATTGAGCCCCACATCGGGCTCCCTGCTCCGCGGGAAGCCTGCTTCTCCCTCTCCCACTCCCCATGCTTGTGTTCCCTCTCTCACTGTGTCTCTCTCTGTCAAATAAATAAATAAAATCTTAAAAAAAAAAAAAGCAGCTAGTTCAGTTCTCATCTTGAATAATCAGACAATTGCTTAAAAAGAAAAAAAAACCCTGCTGTGCCCTCAGGGAAGGTGACCTTGCTTGAAACAATTCCCTCTTTGAACTTCCTTATCTCACCTCCTTCTACTTATAAAAATCTTCCATTTTGCATAACTCCTTAGAGCTCCTTTCTACTTGCTAGATGGGATGCTGCCCAACTCACAAACTGCTGAATAAAGCCAACTAGATCTTCAGATTTACTCGTTTGAATTTTGTATTTTAACAAAGAGACTATTGATAAAAATGTGGATGTTAAAGGCAAGAGGGAGGACTCAAAAAGAAGAGTTACAGAGAAAGCCTCTGTTGTCTCAGAGAAGACATATATCATCATGAATAGAATGGTGGTAGAAGTATGGACACTGAAGGTCATTCTGGTGAAATCTCAGCTAGAAATAAAGAACATGTTATTGGAAACTAAAAGAAGATAACTTGTAATACAGTGGTAAGGACTTTGGCTGAACTGTTTGTGTTTCTGTGGAAGGCAGAACTTTTTAAAAGATGAAATTGGGTATTTAGCTGAGGAGGATTCTAAGCAAAGTGTTGAAGGAGCAGGATGGTTTCTCCTTACTGTTTACAGTAAAATGTGAAAGGAAAGAGGTAAGGTGAAGGAACTACTCCATCTGTATTGTAAAAGAATGACGAAGCCTGTGTTAAGAGTGTGGCTGAACAACCATCTGATAAGGAGAGGAGTAAGGGTGGAAACCATGGGTTTAATCAACATCTCAGCAGAAGCCAGGAATAGTGGTAGGATGATACTAACAGGGACACTGCCAATTTGAAATAAAGGGAACAGAGATGGGACAAAATAAGGTAGGCTATGAGATTTTTGGGATTCTACAGGACAGGATGACAGAATTACTTAGCTGAGAATATGCTTTATCCTTCAAGAAAAAGTATCCAAAAGCAATTCAGTTATCATCAGGGCTGCCACTCCCACCACAGGCCCAGGGGGCAAGGCTGCTTCCTCCCGGGTTTCCTCAGTTGTGGCCACCAGGCAACTGCTACAAAGAGTCGAGGGAGCAGGACCTAGGCACAGAACCAAGAGGGCAGGGCCACTACCTAGGGCCATGGTGGTGACCCTACCACCTACCCTTCAGTGGGCCTGGAGAGCACAGCATCCAACCAAAGATAATTATTCTTGAGTCTTAAGATCTAATATAATTTGCCTTGCCTTGACTTGCTTGGAACCCATAATCCCTTTTTTTCTTTCCAATTTCTCCCTTTTAGAACAGAAATGTCTGTCTACCCTATTCCTGCCCTACTATTCTATTTTTGAGGCACATAACTTGTCTGGTTTCAATGGTTCACTGCTAAAGAAGAATTCTGACTCAGGATGCATCATATTTCAGGTCTCACCCATACCTGATTTATGTGGTATTTTGATGAGATTTTGGACTCAGAATTGATGCTCAATTAAGACTTTGGGGGCTGCTGGAATGGGATGAATGCATTTGTACATAGTAAGGTCATGAATTTTGGGGGGCCAGAGAACAGAATGTTATGGACTGAATTTGTCCCCACAAAATTTTTATGTTGAAGGCCTAACCCCCAATGTGATGGCATCTGGATATAGAGCCTTTAGGAAGGTCATCAGTTAAATGAGGTGGGACCCTAGTCCGATGGGATTGAGTCGCTTTAGGAAGAACTGACACCAGAGAGCACTCTTTCTCCCAGTGAGAACACACAGGAAAGATAATGTAGGACACAGAAGGCAGTAGCCAGGACGAAAGTTCTCACCAGAAACCAAACTTGCCAACATTCTGACCATGGACTTCTAACCTCTAGAACTGTGAGAAAATAAATGTCTTTTACAGCACTCTAAAAAGATGAATACACTTCACATGCTATTTATCTTTTTTATTTAGTCTGATGACAAATTTCCACTCCTCAAATTTCAATTCAAATATTATTCCTTATTAGGTCTTCCCTGATTCTTCAAGGCAAGGCTAGGAACTTGCTACTCCATCATCAAAACCTAGTATTTATCTCTTATTAGAGCACTTAAATATCATAGACCAAGTTATGTATTTATGTCTCTCCCCACTGTGAACCTTGAGGAAAGAGACAATGACCCTCCACCTTTATCCCCAAGACCTTGCACACTACATAACAAAGTGCTCCAAATATGTTAGCTACATGAATTAGTTAAACCTCAACTACATTTGTACCATAAAATTATCTACTGTTTTAAAAGAAAAACATACATCACTTAACAAAAACTAGGAGTAGGTTACCCTCAAGAAAATTTCAGGCAATTTAGTCAATCAATTAATCTAAATGTATACCTCATTCAAATATGGTAATGAGAAGAACACTACCCTGGGTAACAAAAACATTATTAGTCTTTCATTCACAAATTTCAGGCTTGTGAAATACAGGAGTCCACATACTCTCCCCTCTATCAGTGCCCTCAGCTAATGACCTCAAATATCAGTGAGAAAATAGAGGCCAATCAGAGAAGAATTCTTTCATTTGCACACAAAACCTAAGAACCCACTTGCACATCTTTTCATTTTTATTGCTCTTACAACAACAGAGGAAATACCTGTCCACCTTAATCAAAGCCTCCCACCTGTATGGGTGCCTTCTATGCCATTCCTTCTCACCTATTATCCACCTGAGAGCCAACATCATCAATTCAATTACAAAAGGACCGCAATACTGAGAAAGGCGGGAGGTGGCACGGGGAATAATATTTAGCAATCCTTCAGCTTATCTTTTACATTTTACAAAAGAAAAAACTCATTTTCTCATTGGAGCTAGATATTGCTATTGCAAGAGCAGAGACTAAACTCTGACTTCCCTAATGCCTGATTTGGTGGCTTACTCATCATTTCTTCCTGACTGCCTATAAAACTTACCATGAAATAAACTGAGATTCCAATACTCCCCCACCAAACCTGCTCCTCCTTCAGATTTGCCTATCTAAGTTGATGACAACTTCACCCGTTTCTGTGTAGCAAAGAATCTGGCTTTGCCCAAGAGAGGTGCAACTTTTGCCCACAGTTCTGGCAGGTACTCAATGCCTTTGTTTAGGGCAGGAGCTGACAACATCTTAAGTGGTGAGCCAGAAAGACCAACCATGTGATTTTGGGTGAGAACTTCGGGTCATATGGAGTCCACTGTCCTGGAGGCTGAGATAACTATGTGAGCAATCAATCAATCCAAATTGCCTAAATAACAGTCTCAATAAAAACTCTGTGAGAGAAGTGTTCCTAACTAAGACTTTGCAGTCTGGCCAACTGCAGGTACATTCTCAATTCCTCTTTCTCTCACACCCCACCTATGTATCCTATCAGAATATCCTGCTGGCTCTTTCTCCAAAAGGTCGGCAGAATCAAATCACTACTGCTACCATCATGCCTTGCCTCGGTTACTACAACAGCTTCCTCACAGATCTCATATTTCTACCCTCACCCCCATAAAGTCAAATCTTAAAACACCATCCAGGAATCCTGTTAAAATGTCAGATTATGTCGCTTAATGACAAAAGTCCCTGACAGCTCCCCACCTCTCTCACAATAAATGTCAAAGTCCTAACAATGGCCTATGATATCCTACTCAATCTGGCAGCACTAGTTACCTCTGGCCGTATCTTCAGCTACTCCAGCCTTCATTCGCTCTACTCCAGCCACACTAGTTTCCTCGCTTTGTCTTAAATATGCCAGATAATTTCTTGCCTCAGGACTTTCCATCTGTTGTTTCCTCGGACTGGAATGCTCTTCCCCCCACATATATTCATGGCTCCCTCACTTCCCTCAAATATCTTCTCAAATACCACCTTCTCATCAGTGTCTTCCCTAACATTTCACAACCTCAACACAACCCATTTTTTATTTTCTTTCTCTGCCCCTCTAAACCTCTCTTGAATGCATGCTCCCTGAAGAGGAGTTGTCTTTTCTGGTAACTGCTGTCTCACCAGCACCTTGTACGGTATCTGGAACATACCTAGTACATAATAATATTTGGAAAATAAGTGAATGTTATATTGTTCAAAATGGCTGGTCAAACTGTTGCTTCTTGTTACTAGTGTATTTGCAAGGAAACATTTGCTTAACTTTAGTATATTGCTTCTAAATAAATAAATGTCATCTAAAGAATCTGTTAATACTTTATCAGAATTGTGCAAAATGTAACTCTAAATGAGGACTGAAGATAATACGCCATGAAAAGAACAAATAAATTCACAAATATATCCCCAGACACCTTTTGTCTGGGACACATACTCTGGCTGCTATAAAGATTTGTGGTTTTACTGATGGTTCTCAGCCACATTCTAAATCAGGAGATTACAAACTACATTTATAAATAAAGTTTTATTAGAACTCAGCCATGTCCCTCTGTTTGCATCTTGTCCATGACTACTATCAAGGTACAAGAGAGTTTAGTAGTTGCCACAAAGACCATATGGACCTCTAACTTAAAATATTAACTACCCTTTAAGAAAAGTTTACTGATCTCTCCTCTAGATAATTTAGGTTTCTAAATGAGAGACCTTCACATTAACTAAAGCAAATTCACATAACTGTCTTTCTTAAAAAGCCAAAAGAGAATTAAAAATATACTCAATAGCTAAATAGAAAAACTACTAAAAAAAATTGTCCTTTCAATAAGTACTCTTTTTTCATGACACATAAAGGCAGACAAAGGGTACTGGGAATATGCCTTGATTATAAAGCATTTGTATTCCAAGAAGTCCTAGAACCACAAAAGGTTACTGACCAATTTTATTCCACCACAAATTGTATTCAATAAATGTCATTTTTTTATTTACTGAATTTCTGAGACCAAATTATAAAAAGAACCTTTTAAAAGCTTATTAGCACCTCACATATTTCCTAACCTAAAAAAACAAAAGAATCAAAACCTATTTTAACAAGGAGAAATGTCTTCCATTAACAAGGACAAATGTTTTCCAAAGAGAAAATGTTAAATGTATAAAAAAATATGCAAAACTTTATTGATATTAGTATAAAACCTTAAGGAAGAAGATTTAAGAAAGGAACTCACTGACAAAGATTAATTCAAAAATTTAAAGACTGATGCACCAAATCTGAAAAGATGCACAGAAAGGTTTCATCAAAGAGCTGTTTATAAAAATGGAAAAACTGCAAACATCATAAATGTCCAAGTAATCATCACTAGAAGATTAAATAAACTGTGGTATGCTAAAAGGAAAATGCAAAACAGTCAAAAATTGATGAAACTACATTTACTATTTCTAAAGAGATGCCTACAGTATGTCAGCCAGTAGATTATCAAGAATTCATAAAATAAAATCACATTTCTGTAAAATTATAACATGGAGGGTATATGTATGGGGGAGAGCACTCTGCATGTATCTGGTCACATAAAATGTCTAGGTAGAACAACATATACAAAAAAGGTTAACTGTGGCTATTGCTTGGTGGCAATATAAAAGGTGGTTCATTCTTCTTCTTACATTTTTTTCTAGATTTTTCTAAATGAGCCTTTATTATTATCATGTTATTTCCATTTTCAGGGGCAAAAAAAATCAAGACTTACCCAACTAAAAGAAGAAGTGCACAAATTACAGCAAATCCCAAAGTATACTTGAATGCTGTTTTAATTTGCTGGAAGTCAAGGGAAAAAAGTATACCATTTACTAAGACCTTTAAAATATAAAATATTCTTAAAAAATAAAATATAAAATATTCTTGCTACAGTGGAAGAGTACTTTCACATCAAATGTACATTTATGTGTAAATTTGTGTAAAATTTCCTTGTTGAAAAATAATCTTAAAATTTAAGGAAAAACAATGTAATGCCACATCATAAGTGTTATCTTTGCAAACCATACTAGACTTTAAAAGTCTTTTCAATGATTAGACCTCATGGAAATCAGTATTCAAAAGCATAACCAATTCTTCAGTGGGCATAATCATTAGTAAAATTATCAGAATATTTACTAATATATTCCCCCAAACAGGAAGCAATCAGAATCTATAATACCCCTCCCCCAATTCATTAAAATGGGTTATAATAATAAGTACAATAAATATTCAATATGCATGCATGTGTGTATACATGTACATATTTTATATATAATGTATATATTTATATAAAATAAAAAATATATATATAGAACACATATATAAATATATAAAACATTTATCATTATCTTTGTCCAAAGACAAACACAAAGCTGGATATTCTAAATATGGAAAGAAAAGTTAACCTCAAAAAAAGGTTAAATCAGTAAAAAAACAAAAAAAACCTATTTGTCTCTCAGATTAATGAAGTCTCTAAAAGTCACCTTTTAAAATTTAAATTCATGCTTCATATGACAAATTCTTCACAAAGGAGTTAAGACAATCTTTAGGAAAAAACCTAAAATAAAGGTTGAGGAGGATTTTAAGATCAACCAAAGGGTTGGGAAAGATGAACTTCAGAAGTGAAAAGAGAAAGCATGTATCTCATTCCATTTTTAACATTAAATTCCTAACCACCCACTTTACCTTACATACGTTGGGTTTACAAATACAGAGTTACATAAGTATCTGCAAATAATTAATTTTGACTTTCTTTATAAATATTTAAACATCTTATTTTTTCTCTAATAAACTGTACTGATTACCACTTGGAATCACTTAAAATATTGTTATGTACTTGCTCCTGATCTTATGCAAATACTTTAAGGTTTTAATAAACATGATTAAGAATAATGCTGGCTTTTAAGTGAAAGCTATATATATATATATATTTTTTTGTATTTAAATACAAAACATAAAAAAGGTATAAAACAAATTCCTATAACTCAATAAAAAGACATTCCTTTTATGCTGCTTTTTCCCCTTAAATTAGAAAAAATGTTCAATTTTAGCAAATACCTTTCAACATACAATTTCTTCTTTGACCTATCAAATGACTATATATTAACAGATGTGCCGATTCTAAACTGCCCATGCAGTCTAGAGATAGGCCCAACTCAGTTATACTATATTAATATATTTTTAAGATACCTCTGAATTCAATTTGCTAATATTTCAGTTAAGATTTGTATACCAATATTTAAGTGATGTTGGTCTGAAGTTTTGGACATACATGTATGTTATATTTATCAGAGTTTTATATCAGTGTTATCCTGGATTAGTAAAAATAGTCTGCAAGTGTTCCTTCTTTATGCCCTACGATAGGGGTCAGCAGACTGCCCTGTGGACCACATGTAGCCCACCTCCTATTTTACTGGATCACATCAAGCTCATTAAGTATTATCTCTGGCTACTTTCACAGTACAACAGCAGAGGTGAGTAGCTGAGAGAGAAACTATATGGCCCACAAAGCCTAAAATGTTTACTACCGGGACTTATAGAGAAAAAGTCTGCCAATCCCTGCTCTAGAATTGCTGTCTAAACAACAGTCACAAGTCACATGTGCCTACTGAGCTCTTGAAATATGGCTAGTTCAAACTGACTCTTTGAAGTGATAATACTTGGAATATATTACATTAAATGCAATGTATCATTAAAAATAATTTCAACTGCTCCTTTTTACTTATTTTAATAAGTAGAAAGAAAATTTAAAATTTCACATCTGGCTCACATTGTATTTCTATTAGACAACACTGCTCTAGAATGAATTCAAAGTCCTGTCATTCTTTAAGAAAGGAAATAATCTTTCCTCCTCCCCCTAAAATAAACATACTTACAGTACATTTACTAGTATCATCATCATCCTTTTCTTCATAGTAGAAGTAGACAAAAGGGATCCAGAAAAACACACAGAATAATATAACAGAATATAAGGCTGTGGAAAGAAATAATAAGCTGAGTTCTACTGAATACATATAAACTTAATAACTGTTATATTCAGTTCCATATTCAGCTATACAAAACCACCTATATATATATGTATACTTACGTGTGTGTATATTAACATACAAAATAACTTACCAAATTCACATTTACATACCAAATTCACTCCCCCATCTGATCCCTATACACATAACTCTTTGTTTATATGTAATATCCCAATCAGCCTTTTCTGATCCCTGCCCCAAGAAATCAACAGCACTATTAGATAGATCATAATTCAAGTTAACCATGGGGCAATTTTCAGCAATAATGATAATAATTATGCCTATAGGGGCACCTGGGTGGCTCAGATGGTTAAGCGTCTGCCTTAGGCTTGGGTCATGATCCCAGGGTCCTGGGATCAAGACCCGCGTTGGGCTCCTTGCTCAGCAAGGAGACTGCTTCTCCCCCTCCCTCTGCTTCTCCCCCTGCTCATGTTCTCTCTCTCTGTATCTGTGTCTCGAATGAATAAATAAAAACATTAAAAAAATAAAAATAAACCAATTATGCCTATAACAAGTGTAGCAGCTAATACCTGAGCTCTTACTACATACTCAACACAATGCAAGAACTTCCTGTGAACCAACTCATTTAAATGAACATTAACTTTTGGGGCGACTGTCTGGCTCAGTTAGTTGAGTGACTGACTGGACTTAGCTCAAGTCATGATCTTGGGGTTGTGGGGTCGAGCCCCATGAGGGACTCCATGCCCAGTACGGAGTCTGCTTGTCCTTCTCCCTCTGCTCTTCCCCCTGTTCGTGCACATGCACGCTCACTCGCTCTGACTCTCTCTAAAAGAAATAAAATCGTTAAAAAATAAATCAATGAGCGTTAACTTTTGTATTCCTTCCAACTTAAAATCAAGTGAAGTTAAAACATTTTCCAGTCACTCAAGTTAAAGAAATAGTTATATATACAATACTATCCTTTTGGTACAAATAATTTCCCCAATCTAAGTTTAAAATATGTAGTGTTATAAAACTGATCTTATACAAATCAAGACCAAGAAAAGGTAAGAATGGTAAAAGAGTAAAATCAGATTCAAAGTTAACTGATACGAATTCCTACTTATATGCTTTAAAATAATATTAGAGATACTTTGACCCAGTAGTCAAAATATTTTTTAATTCAATGTATTACTTAAAATTTGAACAGCCAAAGTATATTTAACAATAAAAAAAGAAAACAGAATAAACAACTTTTTGAGGCTTCACAAACCTAAAAAAAGTGCTTTTAAAATCATCTGTGAAGGGGCACCTGGGTGGCTCAGTCAGTTAAGTGACCGACTCTTGATTTCCGCTCAGGTCCTGAGATAGGAGCTCAGGGACCTGAGATGGGAGCCCCACCTTGGGTGTGGAGCCTGCTTAAGATTCTCTCTCTCCCTCTACCCCTCTCATCCTCACCCCAATGCACGTGCTTTCTCCCTCTCTCAAAAAAAATAAATTAAAAAAATTTTTTTAAATAAAAAAAATAAGGGACACCTGTGTGGCTCAGTCGGTTAAGTGTCTGCCTTCAGCTCAGGTCATGATCTCAAGATCCTGGGATTAAGCCCCACATTGGGCTCACTGCTTAGAGTGGAGTCTGCTTCTCCCTCCCCCTCTGTTCCTCGCCCTGCTTGTGCTCCCTCCCCCTCTCTCTCAAATAAATAAAATCTTTAAAAAATAAATAAATTAATAATAATAAAATAAAAATCTCTGAATTTACATTTATTTGCATGTGCCTAAATTCATGGAATTATATAATGTAATTATATAAAACAATCACAGGATAATAGTTATTATACTCCTTTGTAAAAAAAAAAGCATTTGTTAGTAATGTATAACTTCAAATACTTATTCTGTTAGAAGGAATGATTATATAAGTTATAGAATTTTTAAACATGATCTTAATACTTGCTAGTACTATCTCACTTATCTGGAGGCCACTCATGAAACAGCCCCCATGAAATGCAGCATAGCTACAACTCAGCAAACAAAGCCCTACAGAACCAATAGAAAGGTAAAAGGTAATTTTTATTGACCAATCATAAAATAATTGTCAGCAAACTGAATTCTTGCACTACACATATTTAGTGAAATGCATGCAGTCTTTTAATATTATGAGAAACCAATAATGACAGTAAATCTTTAAAGGTAATGAATATTGTGTTCCTATACAAAACACAGAGTACAGTTAACCCCTGAAGTTGGCTAAGGCACTAAGTCCCTGCAGAGGTAAAAATCTACATATAACTTTAGACTCCCCTAAACCTTAACTAACAGCCTACTCTTGACTGGAAGCCTTACCGATAATATACAAAAACAGTTAATTAACATGTATTTTGTAGGTTACATGTATCATATACCATATTCTTTTTTTTTTTTTTTAAAGATTTTATTTATTTATTTGAGAGAGAGAGAGAATGAGAGATAGAAAGCACGAGAGGGAAGAGGGTCAGAGGGAGAAGCAGACTCCCTGCTGAGCAGGAAGCCCGATGCGGGACTCGATCCCGGGACTCCAGGATCATGACCTGAGCTGAAGGCAGTCGCTTAACCAACTGAGCCACCCAGGCGCCCATATACCATATTCTTAAAGTCAGCAAGAGAAAAGAAAATGTTAAGAAAATCATAAGAGAAAATACATTTAGACTATTATATTATAGTATTATAAACCAATATTATACTGAATTTATTAGAAAAAAATCCACATTAAGTGGGCACAACAGTTCAAATTTGTGTTGTTCAAGGGCCAGCAATAGTTAGTATTAATATTTCTAAGTCTAACAGCCAATGGAAATAAACATATATTAAAAAATGTAACCAAAGTAAGTTTTTAAAAATTAAAAGTAAAAGGGACAGGACTATAAATCACTCTAAATACCATTCTAATATTATGATTAAAATGATTAAATAATTTGCATAGAATAGGAGAAACCCTAAATCAGCATAACAGAGTTTAATGAGCTGATAGCCATACCCCAGAAATTTTGACCCAGTAATGTCTGGCTTCACTCTCAGCATGCTGCTTATGTCTACTACCTGATGGCCTAGGCCTTCATCTGGCCAAAGAGCCTATGGCTATTTCATAAACATTCCTGGTATTCAGGAACTTGCGTGATCAATGATCTTGTAAGCTTCAGAGTTAACATCATAGTCAATTAGCAGAACAGGTATAAAAATAATTCCTATAATTCAAAAAATACAAATAATCCATTTTTTAAAGTGGACGAAAGACAGATACTTTACCATAGAAGATATTGGCCGAAGATACAAAATGGCCAAAAAGCACATTCCAAAAGATGCTTATCATCATTAGTCATGAAGATGTAAACTAAACCTACAATGAGATACACATATCCAAAAGAATGGCTAAAATTAAACTGGCAATACCAAGTGTTATCAAGAATGTAGAACAACTGATAGTCCCATACTTTGCTAGAGGCAGTGTAAAGTGGCACAACACTATAGAAAACTGTTTAGTAGTTTCTTACCAAGTTAAATATACAACTACCACAAGCTCCAACAATTCTACTCCTCTGACAATGAAGAGCAGCAACATATGCAAAGGGTTTCTGCCCAAAGAAGCCTGCCTGAGTTACAGAGTCCAGGGCTTTTACTGAGGACTTGTAAAATACGCACATTTGCCTGAGTGACCAGCTGTGATACCAAAACTACTGACCCAAAGCAGGAAAGCAAGTATTGACTAAAAATCATACGTTTTGCACAACTGAACAAGCTGGTACTGCAAGGTTCCATATTCAGCTATACAAAACCACCTTATCAATTAGTAATACAGGGTACATCCAAGGGCTAGGTTCACAGGAGTTAGTCAAGGGTCAGCCACACAACCTGAAAGTATATGGTAAGTGAACAAGCTCAGGTGTCTTGCATTAACTCTTTCTTTTCTTTTCTTTTTAAAGTAGGCTCCACACCCACTGTGGAGCCTAACGCAGGACTTGAATTCACAACCCTCCTGAGATCAAGACCTGAACTGAGATCAAGAGTCCGCCGATGCATGGGGCATCTGGGTGGCTCAGTCCATTAAGCGTCTGCCTTCGGCTCAGGTCATGATCTCAGGGTCCTGGGATCGAGCCCCGCATCCAGCTCTCTGCTCAGTGGGGAGTCTGCTTCTCCCTTTCCCTCTGGCTCCTCTCCCCCACTCATGCTCTCTTTCTCTCTTCTCTCAAATAAATAAATAAAATCTATAAAAAAAAAAAAGTCAGATGCTTAACCGACTAAAAAACCCAGGTGCTCCCTGCATTAACTCTTTCATAACAAAAATGTTCTTAGCAACATTATTCACAGTAGTCAAAAACTGGAAATGATCCAAACGTCCATCAACAGGTGAAAAGATAAGCAAACTAAATGGTATTATATTTATACGAATGACTAGTATACAGCAATAAAAAAGAACAAACCATGGTTACATGAGATGAGGATGAATCGCACAGACCTTATGCTGAATAAAATATGCCCAAACACAGGAGTACATTTTCTACAACTGAACTTCAGGAAGTTCTAGAACTGGCAAAACTAATTTATTACAACACGAGTCAAAAAAAGTGGTTGGGACAGCTACTGACTGTAAAGAGACATGAAGATGTATGGCAACCAAAACTCCCATTATGTTGCTGATAGAAATAACCAGGAAAAGGCAGTTTCTAGCAATCAACACCTGGGGGAAGGAAATGGGGAACACACACAATTCTGAAAAGACTCTATAATATCCCCTCAGCAGTCTATGACTCAAAATAGGTGTAGAACAGGGGCGCCTGGGTGGCTCAGTTGGTTAAGCAACTGCCTTCGGCTCAGGTCATGATCCTGGAGTCCCGGGATCGAGCCCCATATCGGGCTCCCTGCTCGGCAGGGAGTCTGCTTCTCCCTCTGATCCACCCCCCTCTCATGCTCTCTCTCATTCTCTCAAATAAATAAATAAAATTTTAAAAAAAAATCCTTAAAGAGTATAAACTCATTT